TTGGGGGGGGGGTAAACTCTAAATAATAGTGGTGAATCTTTTATTGAAACAATCTAATCAAAGCGGATAGAGTGTTAACTAGAATTCATCTGCCTCACAGGGACGGGGAGGGGTGGGGGGTGGGGTTTTATTGGGGTTCTTCATGGGAAAAAATAAGTATTGGTAAAGGGAAATGTGTTTGATATTTGCATGACTGAGACATAAACCTGAAAGCTTTGTAACCTTTCCCACAGTGATTCAATAAATAAATTAAAAAAAAAAATAAAATAAAATAAACACACTGGAAAAAATAGCTTCCAAACACTGCAAGTTCAATGTCACCAGATATATTCAAATATATATGAACTTGAGCCTGTTAAGGTCGATTCCAAACACAGAATTCTCTAAATTTACATCAATTATCCATTACTCTTCCACTAGCACTCCAAATAAACCTCTAAAATCTAGTCCAACCTCTTTTCTTCTAACCTATTCTCCTGATATTCTTCTTCCATTCAGGGCCCTCATTTTGTGTAATCTATTTTTCTTAGATTATTATATTACCGGGCTCTCCGAGAGGGGCGGAGGAATCGAACTCGGGTCGGCCATGTTGGCCATGTGCAAGGCAAACGCCCTACCCACTGTGCTATCGCTCCAGCCCGGCAAGCCACCTAGAGTATCTCACCCGCACAGCAAAGTCTAGCAAGCTACCCGTGACGTATTAATGTTACTGGGCCCGCTCAAGCAAATCGATGAGCAAAGGGAGGACAGTGACATCAATGGTGACTATATTGCCTAGATTACTTTTCCTCTTGCACCTTCAAGAAAGCACTTCCACACAGTGCACCTTCAGGAAGCTTTTCCCTCTCATTCTACTCCAGTCCCTAGATTTAACTCATAATATTATTTTATTTTTCATGTCCATATGTCTTGATTATAAACACTTCGACAAGATTATCTCCTATCTACTAGAAGAGACTTTCTTCACAAAGAATCAATCTCATATGGTAATCGATTTTCTCTGACCACAACCTTTCCGAGGATATTCATTGTTGCCCCGTATATCAATCACATATTTGGCCCCGTTGCTAAGCAGAATATATCATTATTTATAAGAATACATAGAGGCATACTGGACCAGACAGAGAGGACAGGGGTTTGGGTGTTTGCCTTGCACAAGGCTGCCTCCAGTTATAAACCAACACTACATATGATTCCCCAAGCACAGCCAGAAGTGATTCCTAAGCACAGAACCAGAAATACACCCTAATCACCATTGTGTATGGACCAAAACACCCCACGATGAAACTGAAATAAAATAAAATACAGGGAAGAAGATAATAGCTCTGTTAAGGTGCTTGTTTTGCACGCGGCCAAACTAGATTTGATCCCAGGTACCCAATATGGTCCTCAGGCCTGCTAAAGAAATACCAGAGCACAGGACCCAGAGTAAGCCCTGAGCCCAGCAGAGTGTGTGCACCACAACCAAGTGTGTGAAATCCCTTCAATCAAAATTGGAGTCCCAGCACCCCCATAATCACTGGTCATCACAATTAACACCACCACAACAAGAGAAGGAGCAGAATATTTAAGGGACATGCCACGCCCCCTGGCTCATGCACTGTCTTTAGCAGTGTTTCTCACCCTTGCCCCATATGGCCACCTATGGGCCCCAAGGACAACCCCGGGGGGCCCACAGGTGAAAACCACATAAATGGGAAAGGGTGTGGTGGTTTATGACACTGAAGACTAAGGAGCCAACCAGGAAGCACAAGAAGAAACAAGTTCAAAAAGGGGCCGTGTTCAGAAAAAGGTTGAGAAATACTGGTCAACAGTGCTTTCCAAAACATAACAGTGTCTTAAACTACGTAGATGCTAACCATAAATGATACTAATATCAATTCCAGTTGTTTACGGCTATCATTATCTAAACCTTGACTGAAGCCGGGCTCTACTTCCAAGATGAATTACATACATGATTAGCAAATGGGCGCTCTTAACAGGAGATGTTAGCTTCTCTCCACAGGATCACCTTGCAGGCTCTGCATTGCCTAGCCACCAGCTTCTCCCTATACCCTACCACCCCCCGCCCCACCCCCATTAATCCCTGAGAGAGTCAGGAGGACAATATACCCTTTTTATGACTTTGCCTTGGAAGCAGACAACAAACATTACTTCCACAACATTCTACTGAAGCAAATTTCAAAGTCTATCACACATTCCAGAGGATCAGAAGCTGCACTTCTTTGAGGGATGCTAAAGAACCTGCACAGAGTCTCAAATACTGAGTACTCAGTTCCAACAACATAACCAACCCAGTTTGGTGGATTAAAAAAATATGTGCTTGGGGGGGGGCTGGAGTGATAGCACAGCAGGTAGGGCGTTTGCCTTGCACGTGGCTGACCCAGGTTCGATTCCCAGCATCCCATATGGTCCCCTGAGCACCACCAGAGATAATTCCTGAGTGCAGAGCCGGGAGTGATCCCTGTGCATCACCAGGTGTGACCCAAAAAGCAAAAAAAAAAAAATGTGCTTGGGGCCAGAGTGATAGTACAGCAGGCAGAGTGCTTGCCCTGCACAAGGCTGATCCAGGTTTAATCCCCCGAGCCTGCCAGGAATGACCCTGAGCACAGAGCCAAAAGTAAGACCTAAGGACTACTGAGTATGCCTTCCCTCAAAATTGAACCCCCCAGATTCAAATCCTAGCACTCCATATGGTACATCTCTTAACAAGCCCCAACAGAAGTGATCCCTGAAAGCAGAATCAGGTATGGCCACAAAAAGAGGAAAATGGGAGAAGAAAGGGGGGGAGGGAGGGAAGACGGGAGGTAAAGGGGGAAGGGAAGGAGGAGGGAAGGGAAAGAGGGGGGAGAGAGAGAGACAGACAGACAGACAGAGAGACAGACAGACAGACAGAGATATCTGTCCCCAATTTGTTAAGATTCTCCAAAGAGGATGCCAGAGATAGGGCAGGGGTTAAGGTGCTTGCCCTGTAAAGGACAAACCCAGGTTTAATCCCCAAAACCTACACATGATTCCCCAAGCTCAGCCATGTGAGATCCCTGAGCACAGAGCAAGGATTAAGTTGGGTTTGGCTCAAAGACAAAAGCAAGAACAAAACAAATAGATTATCTAAAGAAAAAAGTCAAATGGGAGAAAAAAAAAGGCATTTAAGTTTTTCAAATCTTATACAATAATAATGATGGAAGAGAGAGAGAGTGAAGAGTAAATATTTCTGAGTCCCTCCATTTTTTTCCAAGGAGAAGGAAAATTATGGTGAATAGATCTTAATCATAAATAACTTGGATAAGGACAGAAAAGTACTTATGATTCAAAGCCACATAAAAAAAATTTTCTCAGATATGGGGCCAGAGAGAAAGCACAGCGGATAGGAAGCTTTGCCCTTGCACATAGCCAAACTGGGTTGATCCCTGGCACCACATAAGGTCCTCCAAGGCCTGCCAGAAGTTATCCCTGAGTGCAGAGCCATGAGTAAGCCCTGAGCACAGTCAGGTATGTCCCTCACTTCCCTCCAAATAAGATTTTTCTCTGATATAAGCAAAAATAACAGAAATAGAAATTCTGATAGTCAAAATTGTGGAAGCTTAGGAGGAAGAAGAGGGTATATACTGTACCAAAATTTCTGTATATATTTCATCAGAGAAACTTCTGAAACAAAAAGCATATATATGCCAGAGGTGTAGTTCAGTGATACATGAATATATGACAATGAAGGCAGAGACTAGAATGGTAAGCCAACAAATTAAAGAATGCCAAGACGCCAAGGATTTCTAACAACTACCAATAGCTACGAGAGAGGTATGGTACAGATTCTTCTTTCTCTGGATCCACATAAAGGAATCAATCCTGTTGATTGATACCCTGATATCAGATTCTTGGTCTCTAAGAACTGACAAAAAATAAATTTCTCTTGCTCTAGGAGGACTTCTTCCATTCATAACCTCTTTTCAAACAAAAAAAATTTTACACAACCCCAGGTATAGGTATACCACGCAAGTATATAAACCAAACATTTACTAATAATAAAAAGCATAAAGAAATTTATTTTAAAACATTTTTTACATGTTGTATGACCCACACATTTTCGACTCTGGAGAAGCCCATTTTTCTCTTGAATACATATTCCTCTTCTCTACCCTATGTCTTTCTAAATAAGTTTCTTTCAGTAAAAACTATCTTTCTTGGGGGCTGGAGTGATAGCACAGCGGGTAGGGCGTTCGCCTTACACGCAGCCAACATGGCCGACCCAAGTTCGATTCCTCCGCCCCTCTCGAAGAGCCCGGCAAGCTACCGAGAGTATTTGATATGCCAGACACAGTAACAACAAAGTCTCCAATGGAGATGTTACTGGGCCCGCTCGAGCAAATCTTTCTTACTAAAAAAAAAAAAAATTTAGATGACCCAATATGGGGTTGCAAGCTACAGTTTAAGAAGTTAGAACGGGGCTGGAGAGATAGCACAGCGGGTAGGGTTTTTGCCTTGCACGCAGCCGACCCGGGTTTGATTCCCAGCATTCCATATGGTCCCCTGAGCACCGCCAGGAGTAACTCCTGAGTGCAGAGCCAGGAGTAACCCCTGTGCATTGCCAGGTGTGACCCAAAAAGCAAAAAGAAAAAAAAAAGTTAGAACGGGGTCAGAGAGATAGTACAAGGTTCAAGTGGTTTGCTTTGCACATGGAGAAACCAGTTCAACACTGCATCACCAGAAATGATCCCTGAGTAGAGTCAGAAATAAGGCCTGAGCACTGCCTGATTTGGCCCCAGAACAAATAAAAAAGCTAGAATGTGAAACATCCAAAAGAAAAAGAATTGTATTCTCAAAAAAAAAAAGATGTTTCTTTATTAACATCTCTACATTTTAAACCAGTAAACTTAATACATCTCCAAAAAGTTAATATTATGAGTAAGTGATAAATAAAAGAATGAGAACATTGCCCATATAGTCTTCATCATGATTGCTCCCTCAGAAAGCCTGTCTGTATTAAAGCAATATTGACCTACCTTGTTTTCGGACATCTTCCACAGCAGCAACAAGTTCATCCTTGAGAAACTGACTCTCCTTTGCAATTTTATCACCCTTCTCCAAGAAATTCTCGGTTGCTTGTTCAACAGATGCAGCCAAAACATGGGCCTTCTTAGAACGTCCTCTCTTCTTATTAGAGGGCCCCTTACTATTAGTGTTTACCAGAGTTGTAACCTAAAGGTTTCATTTGGAAAAATTAAACTGTCATAAAAAATGAAAGACAACAAAAAAACTAAACAAACATCTTTGCTCTTTAAATAGTAAAAATTATTCATAGTATTCATGAAGTGCCCTTCCCACTGTACTCTCTCCAGCCCCCAGAAATCATGTATCTTCATTTCTCAATCTTCATTACAACTTAAAAACTGGATTAGAAAAAAAATGAGATACCCCAACTATACACATGATCAAGTTTCAGAAAGTAGCTAACTACAATAAGCTTAGCTTTATAGTCACATTTCACCACATTTTTCTATCTTGGCAAAATATTTTAAATAATTTGCTTCTGAAATGTTTTCACTATTAACACAAATCTCAGCAACCAGTAAAAACCCTTCAAAAAGAGAGGAATGACTGCTCAATGTATCACCACTGTGATAGTGTTAATTCCCAGCACATTAACCATCATTATTACACATAATCTCAGAGAACACAGTTTAAAAATGGCTAAAAATGTGCTATTATAATCTGCAACACAGAAAAAAAATAGAGTGCTGTAGGAGACTTTTAAGAGTAAATAAATATTCCTGAGTCCCACACCTAGACACATATTTTACAAATATAAATGCATGTGTATGTATGTATGTATGTATGAGTGTGTGTGTGTGTGTATATATATAACACTAGTTAGGATGAAATGAGCCTTTTGAAAGACAGAACAGGTGACTACATTTCTTCCATTCTCTCTCACGTATACTCAAACTATGCCAAAACACTAAATGTTCAAAACTAGCTGATGTTAATAAAATGTCGTCATACTTTGATATCTGAATTTGTAACAGAACATGCCAAATCTACACCCTCCCAAATTAAAATACCTGTTAATTCATTCTACACATAAAAGGTGTATAAAGAAGGGTAGTGCCTAGAGCCATAGTACAGTGGGCAGGGTATTTTCCTTGTACATGGCTAACTGGGGTTTGATGCCGGCACCCATATGGTCCCATGAGCTTCTCCAAGAGTGATTCCCAGTACAGAGTCAGGAATAAGCCCTGATTACAGCCTCGTGTGGCAGAAAAAATAAAACCATATGAGGGTAGAAATTTAATATTAAGTATTCTATATCTTAGGTATGTCTTCCAAGAAAATGTCTGCAAAACACAAATGTTGGGAAGCTATTCTAAATACTACCACTTCATACTTAATGCCAGTGATAAGGAATTAATTGTAGGAACTAAGTTTCTAAAAAGGTATGTAAAACTTGCAGTAATATTTATAAACGGAGCCAAATTATTTAAGGACTATCAACCTAAATTCATCCACTTAAATTAGGGCTTGAGCTAAATAAATACCACATAGTGTCCCAAGCACAGAGCCAGAAGTGACCTCTTCCAGCAGCACACAAAAGAAAAATAACTGTGTTCTTTGTGACCCAGGTCTATAGAACCGTATTGCAACTGTCTTATTTTGGGATTCTTACCTGTGTAACAAGAGGTTCCAATAATCTTTCAACTGCCAGAGTCCTAATCTCTAGGCTTTTAGGATCCCATTTAAAATTTATGTTGCCTGCGTGGACAGCAGTCATTTCTGAAAGAAAAACAAAAGTCTGAGTCAGGTGAACATCAAATACGATCAAGAAATACATTAACAAATCTCCTACATAAGGACTTTTATAATAGGAAAATTATAATCACTACAAAATGGAAGGGGGAAAATGTCTTACTAGCCTTCATGTGAAGGCATAGTAACCTATAGCCCCTTCAAGACTTTGAGGTTAAAAACATTAGTGGTACTGTAAGATGCCATTCCCAAACAGAGCTATTCCCTCTGGGCTTCTCTGGCACAAAGATATTTCTATTTTATTTTTCCACAATGACTTAGAAGCAGGATGAAAAGGTAAATTAAACAAAGTCTAATACAGAAGATGTTGTTTTTCTCTCACTTCACAACATTTATAGTATGGTATTGTCTAAAAGGAATACCCCACTTCACTTGTTGATGAATTCTTAGAAAATCTTGTCTTACTCTACTAAAACATAATTCTTAAGGATCGGGGAGAGGGCTCAGGGATGAGAGCACATGCCTTCTGCCTAGTGCCACGATGTGCACTGGGTGTTCTCCTAGCAGCTAGGCTGTTTTTGACCCCTGGAGCCAATTTTCGCCGCTGAAGCCAGGTATACACGAGGAAAGAACACAAGAGGTTCTATCCCTTTGAGCACATATATTGTATGAATACCACAGCGACACCAAGCAAGAGACTGCAGCTAGAAAGGACACTAGAATCAGAACTAAAGCTTTGCGCAAGCACCTTGGCCATTTGCAAGCCACCACAATCAGATGCATGACTTCCAGAGAACACCACAACCAAAAGATGGGGAAGCACCAAAGCCTGGGCTTATGTATAACCCATAATCATGGCAATAACAGTTAAAATAGCAACAGTAAGAAGGGGACAAAAAAAAAACCCACTCAAACTTTCATACTGTTCACAGGAATTTGAGACTTTAAAAGGTCCATTCTTACAATTAAAACCTAGAATTTTTATTCGATAGGGAAAATCAGATTAGTGAATCCAAAAATTTGGATGCAAATGATATAACAGCTCTGTATGTATCATTAAAACTGCAAACTAACCAAACTTCAAATAACAGATCTTTAAATGTTATCAACATTTTGATGCCAGAGATAGTACAAGGGGTAAGGCACTTTCCTTGCATGCAGAAGAACCAGACTCAATCCCGGCACCACATATGGTCCCCCTGAGCACCTCCAGGAGTGATCCTTGAGTGCACACTGAGGAGTAAGCTCTGAGCAAAGCTAGGTATAAGTCCTGACCAACACCACTCCCGAATACAAACCAAAAATAGTTAAAATTTAGAAAAAAATAAAAAAGGTTCTCACTGTTCTAGTCTTTGATTTCTACTAAATACCATTCCCCAAAACACTCTGGCCGCCAACTTCCAGAACCCAATGAGAAATGCAGGTACACGGGGTTCAGTGACCAAAAACTCCAGGCCTCAAGGGATAAGGGATGGGCTAGTGCTTCTCATCCCCATCTCCATGGAACCCTGGAGGTCAGGCCACAAACTGCCTCTGGCTGCTACTTAAGCTCCTTGGCAGCCATGATTCAGAGACACAAAAAAGAATCTCTGAACCGAGCAGTTCACTGTGGAGATTTCTCCAGACCCTAATTATCTGGAATTTTGGAGTTTCAGGAGCTCAAGAGCAGCCAAGCAACATCATGTGCTATTTATAACAAACAATACAAAAGAGAGTATGGGGGAGATTTCTACCATAGAGGAAAGGGGAGGAGTGGGATGGGGGGATACTGGGGCTCTTGGTGGTGGAAGATGTGCACTGGTGAAGGATTGGGTGATCGATCACTATATGGCTGAAACTCAAACAGGAAAGCTTTTTAACTGTATCTCATGGTGATTTAAAAAATAATTTAAGAAATAATAAAATAAATAAATACCATCCCCCATCAAACTTACTACAAGCACAGTATCAAGGATGGTAACTGGAATGGAAAGTGAGAAGGGAGAGAAGGGGGAAGAATAAAAGGAAGGAGGAAAGAAAAGGAAGAGGAAAATAAAGGGAAAAGATGGGTAAGAAAGGAGAAGAGATGGCAGAAGGGACAGAAGAGGAGAGGTAGCAAAAAAGGAAAAGAGAAAAAAGATAAAAGTAAAGGGAGAAGGATAAAGGGGGAAAGAGAGGGAAAGGTGAGGAGGAGCAAGATGCCTGGTAATGTGGTGAGTAGGTGAATTTGGGGGTAGAGTTTGTTTTGGCATCACACCTGGCAATGTGGGTTACTTCTGGTTCTGCACTCAGGAATCACTCCTGTCAGTGCTCGGGAGACCATTTGAGATGCTGGGGATTGAAGCCAGGTTGGCAACATGCAAGGCAAGCACCCTACCCACTGTATTCTGGCCGCAGTAGATGAATAGGTTCTTAAATCTCATTTTAATTCACATTAAATAACCACTAGTGACCTTTCAGACAATACAGTTCTAGACACTTCAGAAAACATCAAATTAAAATGTAACCAAAATAATGTGGCTGCATAAGGTTCATAGAGGAAAATAAAGGCAGAACTCTCTCCATGATAATGAAGCTAGAGGGATCTTTAAGGATTAAACACCACTGAAAAAGCAGAAGCTAAGATAAATAAATGGGGCTTCATTAAATTAGAATTCTGCACCTCAAAGGAAATGATGACCAAAATACAAACACAGCCCACAGACTGAGAGAAACTACTTGCCCACCACTCATCATGAAAGGTTAATATACATGATAAAGCACTGATGGAACATAAGAGGAAAAAAATCAACCCTATGCAAAACTGGGGAGAAGAGATGAACATAAACTTCTTCAAAGAAGAAATACAAATGGTCAAAAGACACATTAAAAACTGCTCTGTATCACTGATCATCAGGTAAACACAAATCAAAATAAGGTTATCACCTAACACCAGTGAGATTGGCACATATCAAAAAGAACAAAAACTTGTATTGCTATAGATCCAGGGAAAAGGGGGCCCCTCATTCACTGTTGGTGGAAATGTGAACTGAACCGTCCTTTTGGGAAGACAATAGACATTCCTCAAAAAACTAGGAATTTAGCTTCCCATGATTCAGCAATTCCACTCCTAAGAATATACCCCACAGGCCCAGAAGCACAAAGCAGAAAATACATCTGTATTCCTATGTTCACTGCAGCTCTACTCACAATAGCCAAGAAATAAACAAGTAGCCTGCAACAACCCACAATGGCCTGGAAAAGTCTGGAAACAACTCAAGAACAGATGACTAGATAAAGAAGCTATGGTACATATACTCAGCCACAAGAAAAGATAAGTCATGCAATCTGCTGATACATGTATGGATCTGGAAAGTATTATGCTGAATTGCTAAGTGAAATGAGTCAGAGGGAATGGTAGAGACACAGAATGATCTGTCTCATATGCAGGATATAAAGAAGCATAGTAAGGGGATAACTAATGCCGAAAGGCAACAGAAATTAAAAGCAGGAGAACTGGTTCTTAGAAGGAAGTTTGTCACTGTGGAAGGAGGGGTAAGTCAGGAAGGGAGCATTCCCACAAAGAGAGGGAAGTGTCAGCTAGACAAGGACTGGGTGCTAAAAGGAGATAAAGTGATACGCCTGATACCCTATCAATGACTGTGTTGTGAACCACAGTGCCTAAAAAAAGAAAAAAAGAAAAAGAAGTGCCTGCCATGGCAACGGGTACTAGTAAGCTGAGGGCACTGGTGGAGTGCAGTGGACAATGGTAAAGGGATTGGTGTTGGGCTATTGTACACCTGGTGCTCAATCATCAATAACTTTTTAACTTTGTAATTCACAGTGATTCAGTAAAAAGTTTTATTTTTAAAAAGGTGATTGCACACATGCCTATACTTGAACACACTTAAAAATTCTGTTGTTTCTTCTCCTATAAACACATGTTTGAGACACAAATAGGTATCTATCACTTCATCAAGATTAATCTAAGCATCAAAAACTGTAGAATAACTGAAGAAGCCAAAGGGTATCAAAAGGAATTTGAAATTGCTTAATCTGGTAGAACAATACCAATTTTACAGGGAATCTGTTTCATTACAAATGGGCACTCTGTTGTTCAAAATTATGTCAAAATCTATACTTCAGTTTTTAATGATTGTCTGTCCCCTAAACTGATCAGCCCAAGTCAGCAAAAGTTAGGAGTCAGAAAGGTCTTGAACTGCTAAAGGGCCAACAAAAGCTTAAGCAAATGTCATTAAGTGTCACAGTTATTTCAGAAGGAATGGTTTACTCCATGATCCCACATTCCTTTACCCTAGAGATATTACATCAACAAAAGTAAAACAGAAAGTCTTTCAAGGGAGCTGGAGAAATACAACAGTGAATAAGGCACATGCCTTGTACAAGGCCAATCTAGGTTCCATTTCTATCATATGGTCTGCAAGCCCAGCCAGGAGTGATCTCTGAGTGCAGAGCTAGGGAGAAGTCCTAAGCACAGCCAGTTGTAGCCCAAACCCCTTACTCCTTCCCCAAAAAAAGCTTTCTTGGGGCTAGGAATGTGGCTTAGTGGCGGAGTGCAATGCTATGGGTTTGGCCCCTTCCCCACTAGTACCACTTATAACAGTTGAAAATTAAAAAACTGGGACCACATGTGAGACAGAATCTCAAAGGCACAAGAAGTTGCTGATACTTCTAAGAGGGGGGAAATGCTTAAAACGGGTCTGCCATATCTGGGTAGACTCAGTGAGGGATGATAAAGGTCTCCCACCCTTTAAGGGAAAAAAATGATTTATTTTGAAAAAACAAGTCTCTTGAAGACAGGTATACACTATACACACACACACAAACACACACGTTTCAAAATAAAAATTCTCAGGGCTGGAGCGACAGTACAGCGGGTAGGGGATTTGCCTTGAACACAGTCAACCCGGGTTCAATTCCCAGGATCCCATATGGTCCCGTGAGCACCGTCAGGAATAATTCCTGAGTGCAAAGCCAGGAGTAACCCCTGTGTGTGTGTGACCCACAAATCAAAAACTAATAATAAAATAAAATAAAAATTCTCAGTG